TCTGTGATTCTGGAGGGCAGACTGAAGAGCTGAGTGGAAAGGAACCTGATGGGACTCAATGGTGCAACAAGAGTCCTACACCTGGGGAGGAATAATTGCAAGCATCAGTACAGGTTATACAAAACACCCTAAAAACATTTCAGCTCGTTTGCCCATAGCCATGTCTCCTCTGATATAAGACTGCACAAGTAAAAGCTTGAGGAATCCCATTACATTTTATGCTGGAAAAACGGCTAAGCCTTGCTAGCAGGTCCTGAAGACAGATAATAATATATGAGATGGGTTGAGGCCAACAGCTGCTCCCATCCCTCCTCTCCGTGTGGGTAATCAGAAGACATTTCTGACAAATTATAAATGACTTTCTGTAGCTGTCATCTTTCAGAGCAGCCATGGAGTATTGTCTCACAACGAATATAACCACTTTTTTTTTTTTTTTTCCTCCTTCACCCCCTCCTCTCTATCAAGGTCTGTTTCATAGCCTTCCATTATCAGCCCACATTGCCAGGCAGGAGGCTTCCCTCTGGCTCCCAGGCTGTTTTTTCACTTCAGAAGCCAGCAGGGAGTGGGAAGCACAGCAGAGGCCACATTCCTGCCATTTATTTGCCTTGCAGCCCGGTTGCCTCACTTTGTTTACCCTGCTAGAGGTATTGGCAGCTTTGCTCCAAGACCTCATCTTGTGCTTGGGCATGCAAAGCTCCAGAAGAGAAAACAAGAGTGTATTGTACTCAGGAAAGGTCACTATCACTTCCTAGGTGATGTAGGCTTTCACTTGCATCTCTCTGTAGCAGGATTTGAAAGCCAAGCTACCCCTGGTTACAGCTGTACTGCAGTTCAGCTTTGTGTCTGGGCTGATCTGAGGATGAAGGCCAGTGTCCCTGCAAAGACTTGGGAATGGGAAATACCTGAGGTTCTGATATGAGAAAAGAGATCAAAATGTAAACCCGTGACAAACAGACACCACTGGGGTAACCCACGTTGCACTGCTCCATCACAAATACTTTCCCACTACTGTTGGTTTTCTTACACTTCTTTGCATTTCATAGTGGGTGAATGTTTTGTTCCTGCTCCTGCTGAAACCAACAACGCTCCAAGATGCCCCATTCCATGGGATTCGATTAATAAATATTAAGCAATGACAATCTGTGCTGAGTTGACACATCAGCCTGTGTACCAAGACATAGCTCATGTTGTGGATGCCCCATCCCTGCAGGCATCCAAGGCCAGGCTGGATGTGGCTCTGGGCAGCCTGGGCTGCTGGTTGGCGACCTGCACACAGCAGGGGGTTGGAACTGGGTGAGAACTGTGCTCCATTGTAACCCAGGCCATTCTATTCTTCTATGATTCTATGTGATGCCTTGTGCTGTAAGGAACAGGAGCTCTATCCAGCCAAGGCCGAGAGTCCAGCTGCTCTGGCCCTGAGATTGGATGCAATTCACTAAGGAGCTTCTGGAGTCACCATCTATTTCTATACTAGCTCATTAAATTGTTACAGAATTTTTCTGGGCATGGAAACACGCTCACCTGTGGCTCAGGATTCAAAAGAAGCCAAAATCCATTCCACATAAATGGTTTGAGGTAAGCTGCCTAGATTGGGAGGATACTCAAGTTTAAAAGCATGGATGCAGGCTCTTCCATCCAGATGCTCTTAGAGTCGTGGACAGTCTTAGATACATTTAATTTATTTGGGTGGACATAGTATTGAGTTCAGTTCTTGCTATTTCTGTCACCATGTCATACAATCTTTCTCATAAATACATTAGCTCAAGATTTAGCTCAAGATTAGCTCAAGATTTTGAGGTTTCCACGAAAAGAGTGGTAAGGTTGTAGCTGGTAAGGTCTCTGTAAACTCCTTAACAGTCCTTTGAGTCTTTTAGTAGAAAGAAATTAGTATGAGTTAGTTCAAGAAGTTCAGAAAGAATCATAAGGAAATATAGAAGTAAGAGCCAGAAAACTTAGATGTAGAGAGATTTTTACTTTTCTGCAGTAAACATAAGGTCAGCATTTTATGCTATTTAGCTTTGAACACATTGTAGAAAAACTGATGTCTGCTTTCTCATTTGTCTGCTTTTTCCTAGACTTTAGGAAGACCACCTATCAGTGGTTGGGATTTTCAGACTTATCCCTACATTTTCAAAGGACTTTTGTTACAATCCCCTGAGACAGTCATCATTATGTATATTTCCCAGTCACGACTGCGTGTCTCACTGTGCTTGACGAGGCTCAAGACTTAGTAAAGCAACAGTCCTTACCTTGAAGAGGTTTTACAAAATGTCATTGAAGTTAGTGGAGGATACGCGGAAAAAATTAGCAGCCCACCACCATTATTGGTTTCATCATCTAACTCTGTTCTGAAAACTGCTGCCATGAGTGGTGATGTGGATGTCTTTGTATTTACACGCTGCTGTGTTACAGCTGTGTTTCTGAGGTGAGGTTCGTGTGTCCAAAGTGCACGTGGACATATGAGCCTCACCGGGTTCTTGGCTGCATCTTCTGCTCTCACTCAGATTCTTTCCTTCTACTCATCCCTTGCCAAAACCTTGGCGCCCGATGGCTGCCAAACACACTATAGGAACATCTGCCTGCCAGAAAGGCATCTGCAGGGAGTCCACTGCTGATACTTCTCTATGGAAGCTGACAGCCTTCAGGGCTTGGAAGAGTTGCTCAACTCCTCGTGGCTCTTCCACTCTGCATCCTTTCCACTGCAGCACCTTCCATGACCATCGAGATGTGGAATCACTGAATGTCATGAGTTGGAAGGGAACCAAAAGGATCACCAAGTCCAACTCCTGGCTCCACTCAGGACCACTCAAAATTCAAATCCTGTGCCTCAAAGTGTTATCCAAATGCCTCTTGAACTCCAGCAGCTTGGTGCTGCGACCACTGCCCTGCATCAGTGCCCAACCACCCTCTTAGTGAAGAACATTTTCCTAATACCCAACCTGACCCTGGCTTGACACAGCTTCATTCTGTTAATGGAATTTTTCCAGCAGGACCCACCATTTTCAGCCTTTCGCACTCCTTGGCTCATCTTCATGGCTCAATGGCCAAAATTCCCAAGCACTGCAGTGGGAGAACATATCAAGCTGCAATACAACAAGGCTTTATGGAAGCATACTAACAGAAAGAAATAATTTCAATTCCTGGGATGGCACTGGAGACCTACATGACTCAAATCTTGAAGATTTAGGTCGAAATTATTAGTTTATCCGTGTTTTGTCTTCCAGTGGTTCCAATTACGTCTCCCTACTCGTCTTTTTTGTTATCTGTCCATATAAAATCTCAGTAGGTCTCAGCCTACCCTTGTAATGCTTGACATGGTGACACCCTGACCTTTCTTATACCTTACAGGCTTTATTGCAGTGAAAATAATGTGTGTTTAGAGCACATTTTGTCAGTCAGAAGCACCTTTGCTTCTTGCACCTCTACCTCTGCCACAAGAAGAGCCCCTTGGGGTCAAAGGATTGCAGAGCTGTAGCAAAACAGTAAATGAGCAAAGCTGCAAACATTTTTCTCCACCAAAGTGGAGGCATTTAGCTCCTTTTCTGGCAGGAGCCAAGACATGGTCTTGTTACTGGACAGGAGGAATGAAGCTGCAGATCCTCAGCATAACTCAACAGTGCAGGCGTATTTGGGGACCAGTTTGCTGAGCATCGCTTCAGCTCTCTGGTACAATCACATCCTTCCCAGAATTACTTTTTTCATGAATCCAAGCCAAAATAAGAAGAAGCACCGTTCCTGCGATGTCTTTCAAGGAGCAGGAGGTAGGGAATGTGTGTAACATGTGTTTTGCAGTAGGACATCTTACCGCAGACCCATCCATCACTGTCCATCCCCACTGCTGGGCCCTGGCAGCAGATCATCCGGGATCCACCTCCCTTTCAGACGTGATCAAAGGCTGAGATTGGGAACAGTGTAAGCTTTCCTGGCTGGGATTACAGCCCAGCTGAAGCATGTAGCACCCTCTCTTTGAGAAGTAGGTTCATTTTAACTGCCCCGCCTGTCTCACACCCTGAACAGTAATTCTCACTGAACTTGATGATCTCAGAGGTCTTTTCCAATCCAAATGATCCTGTGATTTTAGCACAAAAGGAGAACACCAGTGCAACTTCCAGCCAAAAAGCCTGCAGCAAACTGGTGTTGAGTAAGGCTCACCCTCAGCAGGAGCTGTCCTAACACAGGGCATCACATGAAATAGCTGCCAAACTCTAAACAAGGTCATTGAGTATGTCAGAGATGAGTCCAGGCAGCATTCAGAAAAAATTACAGCAGAAAAATTCCACTGGGACCTATTAACATGAGCACACACTGCTTCTGCTCCATGACTTCTCACCTGCCAGTGCTTCATGTTGGGCAGTCGTGGTGCCAGGCAAGAGGATGCCAAGCACTGGTCCTCTGTGGACATAACTGGGTGGGAATAGGTGAGTCCCTGGGCTGGGTGTAGGGCTCGTGACTTTGCAAGAGGCAGAAAGAAATCCTTCCATGGTTTCACCTTCCAGATTTAGATTGGATATAAGGAAAAAGTCTTTACAATGAAGGTAGTGAACTCTGGGACAAATTATCCATGGTTTTGGTAGATGCCTCGTCCTTGGAGACAATTAAGGTCAGGATGGATGGGGCTCTGAGCACCTGATTGAGCTGTAGGTGTTCCTGTTCACTGCACGGACATTGGACCAGATGGCCTTTAAGGGCCCCTTCCAACTCAAACAGTTCTATGACTCTATGATCTTCTCCTGAAAGGTGAAGGCTACATGCATGGGACCTTGAAAGATTTCTGCAGGCTGCAGTAGGATACAGATGACAGCTAGGACCAGAAACATAAAAAATCAGCCAAGAGCCAAGACAAAACTTCCAAGAAGTGAAAGGGAATGGGAAAGAAAGCCCCACCTGGTGAGGTTAGCATTGGTCCATGGGATGCTGCAGAGGCAGTAGGGGCAGCCTGTGAAGACGTGCCTCTCCTTAGCACCCGCAGAGGGGAGTGTCTTGGGCACATGGCAATGGAAAAGATCTAAACCCATGGTCTACTGCTACTATAGCAAGAAGGTAGTGCAGTCTTTCACAAATCAAATGCAGGCTATCCAAAGAACTGTGGCCTCCCCAGAAAGTACCGTACTCCACTACCCCCCCTTCTTTCCTCTCCTCCATAAAAAAAAAAAAACTACAATTTTCTCCTGCATGAAATTTCTTTGCTTCTTTCCTTGCCTCACTGGCTTAGGTGAAAGGCTTGGCCGTGTGCTGGAGTTGTCACAGGTTCTTGTAAGCACTCCATATATTATGAGGGCTGACTCCCACAAAGGCTTTGCACTCAAGCTCCATGACATTGCTTTCCAGCACCGCCTTGTTGCTTCCAATTACCCTGACACGGAGCTGAAGGCAAAGCAAAGATTCGTGTCTCCTATCTGCAGATTTGCAGGAAACTTCCCTCAGTATCCTTGTTCGCCATCCTCCTTGTGGGTGAGTTACAGCACAAAGAAAATGTCAGCATCCTCCCCACCTGCTTTGGTGAGCAGCCGGAAACTCGCACATAAGGAAGAATTATGCATGTACTGAGGCAGAACATGTCATATTGTTTAGGCTTTAAGGGCAGGCAACAACGTGGGACGTGGCATGAATCACAGCTGCAGCTTGCCTGGAGGATAGGGTACCATGCATGGGGCAGCTGGTGCTGATTATCCAGAGGGGTTCTCCTTTTTTTAATTCCTCCCGTTATAATTGGATCCAGTAATTCATCCTCAGCATGGGCTGCATGTCTGTTCTCTCCGGAATATCCCAGGGATGGGTTAGTAATCCATCACAAGGAGATAGCCAGCTATTCCTCTTCTTTGTTTTCTCCCAGGTGACTTGAGAGCAGCCAATGTATTTCTACCACCTGAGGCACGCAGAGACGATGTCCTGGTGCGCTCAATCCCCAAAAAGAAGCACCATCAAAACCAGTGTTTCTAGTTAAATAAAATGGAGGATAAGCAGACTGACAAGCAGGGAGAAAATGCCAGAAGTGGAGGTCTCACAAATGCCTCTCAATGGAAAAAAACAAAAACAAAAAAAACAAAACAAAACAAAAAAAAACCATCTAATAATGTGATGTCAACTCACACAGTGATATAAATCACATATCAGAAAATGAACTGTCTGCCTTAAACCCTAGCTCAAATAATTGCTCATCTTTCTTTCCACTAGTGATTTTCGCATTAAAAAGCTTTGCAAAACCATGCACAGACAACCAGGAAAGTGCCTTCACCTCCCAAACAAAACATGGGACTTCCCAGCACCAAATATAGAGCAAGAAGAATCAATCATAGAATCATTAAGGTTGAAAAGACCACGAATATCATCCAGTCCAACCATCAACCTATCACCACCATACCACTAACCCCATCCCCAAGTGCCACATCCACACTTTTTTTGAACATCTTTAGGGAGAGTGACTCCACCACCTCCCTGGGCAGCCTGACTGAATGCACTTTGCATCATACGTAAAGTGCTTGGAGAGTTATTCATAAGCCACAAGGCATCTTCACATGTTGCAGTGGCTGGAACAATTTAGATGGATTCTTAATTGAAAGCAACATAACTCAACTCCTCAAAAGATCAATCTCTATAAGACTTTCAAGACAAGAACTTCAAGTCGTCTAAAAATTCTTTCAAACTTCTTCATGGGAGAAGTGGTAGATTCATCATTGCTGGAGGTGTTCAAGAAAAGGGTGGATGTGGCACTGAGGGACCTGGTCAGTGGGCATGGTGGGGATGGACTGATGGTTGGACGTGGGGATCCTAGTGGTCTTGGCCAACCTCAGTGATTCTATGATTCTATATGAACAGATGTTAAAATGAGGGGTGTAGAAACCATTCTATCTTCAGCTCAGTCTCAGTCATCCCAGCCAGTTCAGTCTGCCGTAACAGCACAAGAATAGCTGTGCTGGGCTGGATCAGAAGTCCATCAACTTGGTGTCTAACACTGGCAAAAGCAGAGAATAATGTAAGTGTACACTTGCACTCCTGGCAATCCCATTTTATTCAAGGTATCTCCTCATTCCCCACGTATTAGTTTGGGGGCTACAGCTCAAATAATGCACCAGATATAAATCTTCAAGAGGAAAGTGGGCAAAAAGTCACTTGGGGCTGTTAGGAGCATCCCATCTCTTCCCACCCGCCTCCTCAGCTCATTCATCTCTGCAGCCCTGCTCCCAGGTGTTGACAAAGTTGGCATGTCCAGCCACAGTAGCTTTTCACCAATGGCTGCTAATACCTCAGCAACCCGTGCCCTGTGGTTAGAAATGATTGCAGAGCTCTGTAGTTCATAAAAATTCCGAGATTATTAATTTAATCATAACTCTGGTCTTTCTGTGTCAGTACATTATAGACCCC